TTTGCACTTGCCAGGCAGGCATGGCACCAGTGAGCTACATCCCCAGCCCTATCTGTATCTACTTTAGAGTCACTAAGCATGTTTTTCATTCTGGTCACCATCTCTGTCGTTATCTGAGAAATTAATTCTGCTTTGAATTTTTCTAGAGGCTCATTCACCTACTTTGTTACTTCTGCTATTACCATTTCAGAGAATCCAGGTGGGTGGTTTTGAATCGTTCCACTTCATTTCTCCCTGTGTTTGCCTTTGGTGAGCTGAAAGTCTGAGGGGGTTGCATCTTATTTAAATATCTTCTCGTTTTCTTTCTTTTTTTATTTTACTTTAATTTCTTGGTTGAGGTTGTAGATTGCTTGTAACAAGTAGCTTTATTGTCAGTATTCAGAACCCATAGGGAGTGACTACTTCTCAGAGGTGTCTTATAGGTGTAGATGTCTTTGGGTTTTGAATCTGTTGCAAGATCCTGTTTCTTCAGTTTATTGAGAATCAGAAGTTTCTGCCTACTTGGCTCAGAGCCTGATTCTTTAGCACTGGCTTATAGTACTTTTTAAGACCCTTAGGCAATCTCAGTCTTGCTATGCTAGGAAGAACAACTGATTATGTCACCTTGGCTAAAGTAGTACAGTCTGCAATAACAATAGCATCAAACACAGCCTAGAAAATAACAAACTGTGGTAACTATTAATTTGTCACCTTTAACCATCTGAACTAGATTTGTGGCTATATAAGAAAATCTAGAACAAACCAGAAATTGTATGCAATAAATCAGCCCTCAATATTCCAATTTTACTCTAAGGGTCTCGAGAAGATTTAGAAGGGATTGGGGAGGGGATAGTAAAATAAAAGAAGAGTTTAGAAGCAAGCCTGGAGGACAAAGGGAAATCATACAAACTTTGAGAAACTGGTGAAAAAGACCGGGAGGAAAGAGAGAAGGAAAAAATAAAAATGAACAGAACATAATAAAAAAAAAACCCATAGAAATCATGTTCACATTCATGTAAAAACAGGAATAAACCATCAAGAAAAAATAAAACAGAACAAGAACAAAAACTAGAGCTGGAGGTGGTGGCACACACCTTTAATTCCAGCACTTGGGAGGCAGAGGTAGGAGGATCACCTCAAGTTCAAGGCCAGCCTGGGCTACCTAGTGAATTCAGGGCCAGCCCAAACTACAAAGTGAGACCCTGCCTCAAAATAAAAAAAGATATGTCTCTGCTGTCGCTGGACGACAATGCAGGCAGACAAGAGACCAGATCCGAGTTGTTTAATCCCAGCAAGCCAGCCTTGTATGGTGGGGTAGTGGATAATCCCAGCAAGCCTGGACCTTCTGAAGTTCAGGCTAGTTTCTGACTATGAGGCTGGAACCAGATTTTTGAGTCTGCCACCTGCTGGCTTGAACTCCCCTCCTGACCTCCCGCCAACTTGAACTCAGCACCTTCATGCCAACATTAGGAGCCATCAGATGGAGCTGGCCATAGCTGTTCTGAATGCCAAGCTCAGTTGGACCCTCTCCAAGATAGCTACCAGCCAGTTACTCTCCTGGTTGAGGTCTAAACTAGAATAACATCTGCCACTGTAGTCCGCTGTGTCCACTGCTCCGTTCCACTGGTGCCTTTCTCTGTGGAGGCCTCTGGGGTCTCCAGTAGTCACCATGTGTCTGCAGGTTCAACCCGCTCTTCCCACACCATAAGTCTGGACTCTAGGACAAAGAGCCACCTGCCATCTCCCTGTTTTTCATTGAAGTGTCTCTTGGCTCTCCCCGAGGACTTCTGTTCTCGCTTCAGATCCTTCTTGGTTCTCAGGAACCCATCCCCCCCCCCCCATGCCACTATATCCTGCCTGTCGCTTTAAACACACTTATCGCATCATTCTTGGAAGTTCTTTTTTTTTCTTTTTGGTACCAGGGATCAAACTCAGGACCGTGTGCTAAATCCCCAGCCCTCTTGGCAGTTCTCACAGTCCTCTTCTGTGCCTTTAGTTGCACTCCCATGGGTCCTGAATCGATGAAAAATGTTTAGCTTTCATAGTCATTTTGACTTTGGGAAAGAGCCAGAAGCCACATGGTGCCAGATCTGGTGAATGTTGGGTGAGGACACACCATAATCTTTTTATTTGACAAAATTGCCATAAACATTTCAATCCTTTCAGAATGGTGAGGCAGCCACAAAGACACTCACAAAAGAGAACTTCTAGAACTGTTTCGCGAAGTGGCAAGAATGATTGGATAGGTGTGAGAGGAGGGAGTATTTTGAGGGGGTTTCATGGCAATGTGTCTTTTACTATAATAAAAATTTGGGGGGTTGGGAATTTAGCTCAGTGGCACCACACCTGCCTTGCAAGTGCAAAGTCCTGAATTCGATCCCTGGTACCAAAAAACAATTTTTTAAATTTAAATATTCACTATTTTTTTATTGCAGCTCATGGAACTTTAGCAGTTTTATTATTATATGTTCAGTTCCCTTTTTTTTTTTTGGTGCCAGGGATTGAACCCGCATCCTTGTGCTTTCAAGGCAAGCGGCAGAATCACTGAGCTAAATCCCCGCCCCTCAGCTCCTTTTTTAAAAGTGGCTGTTCTGGGCTGGGGATGTGGCTCAATGGCACCGCACCTGCCTGGCAAGCACAAGGTCCTAAGTTTGATCCCCGGTACTGCTAAAAAACAACAAAAAAAGACATATTAAAAAGGGGGGAGGGATGATTTAGCTCAGTGGTGCTGCCACCTGCCTTGCAAGCACAAGGTCCTGAGTTTAATACCCAGTACCAAAAAAAAAAAGAAAAATGGTTTATTCTGTCCCATGAAAGAAATCTGGTCTGGGGGCTGGGATTTAGCTCAGTGGTTCCGGCTCCTGCCTTGCAAGCCCAAGGTCCTGAGTTCAATCCCTGGTACCAAAAAAAAAAAAGAAAGACACCAAGAAATCTGGTCTGGTATAATAACCTGATGGTTAAGCAAAGATTTTTGAGAGCCCAATGGTCCTGGTATAGTAATGTCAGTCACAATTGTTATTTTAGGGCCAGGGATTTAGCTCAGTGG